ATTTCACCCCCTTTGTGAATCTTAAATGATCTCCCTCGCCACTCCCCGACACCCTAATTCCCCACGTTCTCTTTCCTCCTCTCTCTTCGTCTTTATCTCACTGCCTCTTCCCCTCCCCGCAGGGCCTCGACTCATCTGGAGACTTGCCAGGAACACAGATAGGATCACTCGCAGATGTACAATAACTTCAGGGTAATAAATACGCTCCCTAATTGAGAGAAATGATGTGATATTGATCCCAGGGCCTCTGAACCTTTGCCGCCGATGGAGCGTTCTGTGGGAGCCAGTGACATTTAGAGGGATGGCCGTTGTGTACGTGTGCGATATTGGGGAGGGGCGTTACTGAGGCCCGGCTGTGGGCGACTCTCTTGTTCTTTGTGGAACTGAAATGTGTCTCGTAGTTTGATGACAGCTTTCGAGCTGAAAAGCACGAGACGGCTCAATATGTGCCGAACACGGAGGTTGCCGCGTTGCAGCGAGGGATGCTTTTAAATAGAAAACTAATAGAAAATAAGAGGAAATACATATCAGCATATGCCGTCTGTGTCCGTGCCATTAAGGCTGGTGAGTGGCTTTCTGCACTTTCAAGTGAGTGGAGTCCAAGCGGCCTCATTAAAAATAAAGTTCTGCACACAACCAAGTTGAGTGGGTTATAGGCTCAAATGTTTTAGGTTTATTTCAAAGTTACCTTTATTGTAGCATTATGTACATTTGGTCCAGTATTTCTAATCCATGTCCAACAGGCAGACAGTGCGCCACCTTTCCTGCCTGGAGCTGTTCAAACATTCACTGTATTCAATGCATTATGTAAGGCACTTAAAATAGCCTGTTTGAAATGTGGTATATTAATACAACTGCACAGCCTGTCTTAATAAAAAAGGTACAAATGGAGGGCAGGTTTCATTGGAGTTAAATACTTCTTGCAAGTTAAGAAAACGACAAAATCGATAAACTCTTAAGCTATTATCAGGTCTTCCTGAACCTTCGACGTTTGCTTCCTTTCCCCAGAACTCTTGGTATCTACCTTGAACATGATCGACCACATATACCCACCTGTCTGTGCCGTGTGGGGCTTTGTCCAATAGGACATGCAACACATCAACATCAATAGTTACCTATTCAAGAAAGGGGCTCAATCAATGCAACAAGAACTCAGACCATTACATCCTGAAAAGATTGAATCCATAAAGATACGGGAAGAAATCGGCTCCAGGATAATAGGATTATTTGACATTCATGGATTGATAAGGTCATGTAAAGGTTAAAGTTTTCAAGACCTGTTGCATTGGAATAATGTGGTGAAAGCTGACATTCTGTCTGCAGTCTAAGTGCGATTCATCATTTCTTCCTAATGATGCTTGGTTTCTGCAGCGGATGAGGAAGAAAAAAAACCCACACACAAGTGCAAACTTACTCCGCATCTGGATTCGTCAAGTGTTAATGCGAAGGCCTAGATGTCAGCGAAGAGGAAATGGGAGTCTCATAACAACCTGACCTGCACCAGAATAACAGTACATTGATGTGCTAACCTCCTCATTACCAAAGGACTGCATAAACTGATGCGGCTGCAAGTCAATTCAGGATAATGATGGCTTTGTTCTGACGTGGCCTCAGTTCATACTGTATCATTATACAATGCTACTCCTTCTGATGAGCGACTGAAGACCAATTTCCAGTTTACACCATTATTATTCACCAACCGACAGATGAGGAAGCTCCAACCTCTGAGAGGAGTGCAGATTGTCAGATTGTTATAGAGGCTGCCTAGAACAAAGAGATTTACACAAAATGCCTTTTGTTTTACGCATCGGCAGCTTGGAATTAATATGTTGGGTCCTGTACTGCAGCTAAGAGGACATAAAAAACAAAACTTGCTCATTTGTAATGTTACCCACAATTCTGTTCTCATAATCCCAGAGTGGAATGATTGTACACTACACGGCCAAAGATATATGGACAGGCTAGAATTACATCTAGCTTTGAAATATTGAACATCTTATTAAAAACCACGAGCATCGATATGTTGCTGCTCTGGGAGGATTTGGATACTGAATCTTTGCAGTACGTTAAAGTTTTTCAATTTAGCGAAAGATTGCACTAAAAATTTGTTAATCACAAATTAAAAAATAGATATCTAGTTCGGGTTAGAGCGAAAGCATTAGTGTTATCCAGAGATAATTCCTGACAGCAGGAAAGGATGCATCTGCGACCTTTGACCCTTGCCTGTGTTACCATTTAGTTGCTGTGTTACTGCCTATCTCTGACTGAAAACAACAAATTGTGTTCCAACCCACTGCAAGGGTCCACAAAGGCTTGTCGCAAACACAGCAAATAACTAAGGGAGGCCCAGGAGACAACAAGACAGTCTGGGGAGGGGGAGGATTAAAGAATAAATCAAATGAACACCAAACAACACTTGCGTTGCATTGAATGCTACAGATGATCCAGTTTGACAGAGAGATGATTCTTCTCAAAGCATTCAAGGGGAGGCTTAAAAGCGTATTTTGCGAGGAGGCTCAGACACCATCACCGTGTTTCCTCTCGGCTGCAATTTCAGAAAACACGTTGCCGTGTCGTGATGTCAAGTGTAAGGGGATGAAGTGCGATACCTCGAGCAAGGAGGCAGTTGAAAGCGATGAAGTTTTAACAGCCAATCGAGATCACAGGGGGAACCCGCTGGGTATTCGCGGCGCGAACCCCACAAACGGAGCGGCGCGAAGGTCGTAAATTCCATCTAACCCCCGAATAAAAAGCCAAGACAGGTAGGCAAGCGAAAGGCAGCAGGTGACGCGTCAGCCCTGCTTTAAAAAAAACGGCATTAAAAACAAATCCAACCTGGCGGCAGGAGAAAAGCTAAAGAAGCGGCTGTGTTTGTGGCACAAACATGCTCCCGAATTGAGGAAATAAATCACCCTTTTGTCCAAGTGGTTAAAAATTGAGCACATTAGCACTCTGGAAACAGACTCGCACTGCGGTTAGTCCGCTCGGCTTGACTGCAGCAAATTATTCCGCTTCTGCACATGACTGAGTGGAAGCAGTGCATTGAGCTGTCAGTCTGACTTAAGGCGCAAAGAATGCGAGGCACCTGTCGCACGGAGAAGGCGGTAGAAAGGCGCGCCCAAGCAAGAGGCTGGGAAGAGCATTTACACACCGCGTATTAATCAAGCACTTGAATCAATTATAACTGAGGAACCGCATCCATTAGGAGACCAAACGGGGAGCGGGCCACGCGTGCTGATTAATTGGGGCGCGTCATTTACAGATCTCTCTGTTCATCGCTTGAGTTCCGCAACAAGAGCCTAAAAAAAAAAGCGCCTCTCCGCGTTGGACGTCCCCCCACTCGTCCCGCTGTCTCCCTCTGACCTGCCTAATTACCTGTCTACCATTTACGCTTCTGTAATTCACGAGTACTAATATTAAAATTCCGCCAACTGCCAAACAGCGTTCGACTCTGTGGACGAGAAGAGTGCGGTAGCCCAACACTGAGAGGAAGCCGTGGGGGCTTGTACCGGCACAGGATCAAATATGTTCATCTATTATGTACACAGAGGTGCAGAGTCTGCGTAGATTATCAATGGGTGCTGAGGTAACAGACCGTTTCTACTACTCCTTATCCAGTGGACAATGTAAATCCAGAGGAACATCCAATCCGACACATTTGGGGGATGAATGTTACAGAAGCTGAAAAGACGAGAGTTAAGAAATTAACCCTGAAAGCAGAGCAGCGGCACGATTCATGTTTTTGGACTAGTATTGGCGGCTCCATCAGGTAATGGATTTTGTAAATCACTATCATCCATTATCAAACACTTAATCAGATGAGAAAAGTCCTCAATTTAAAGCTACAATCATCCGGGGTATATTTTCTGATTGCCACCTTTTACCTCTGCGAGCCAGTTGTGCTTGTCGCCCATTACCAATGGGCTTCAAAGGAAGCCTCCATCGTGACCCATTTTCCCTTCCCGCCAACAGCTCGGCTCTCGTCCAATAAGGCACAAAGCGGGAATTTTCCCATGAGCCCCCGGGCATCAAAAGCTGGTAAGGCAGACGGAGCACTACACCGCTCCGAGGCGGCCTCACGGGGGCACAAATGGGAGGCGGTCGTCTCAAGCGACGCAAACGCCATGAATTTGTAGGTATGGCGCGAGTGGAGGGTTACGTGCGTTCCCTCAGAAGTACGGTGGCACTTGAAGTCATCGCGGGCTCGTTAGAGATGAACAAACACCGGCGGCCTCCACGGCGCACAAGACGACAGAGATGGATGTGATCAGTGCAATTACAACGAAGAGGCACTCCAGCGACAGCGAAGAGAAAAGGCGGCGGACGTGGCTTTCAAAACCACCGAATTAACTCTCCCTTTCATGCACGAATGTGCCGAATGACTCATCTGATGTTTTTCCGCCGACAAGAGGAAGACTTAAGGTCCATTCGCAAAAGGGCACAGAGAACAGAACCTAATTGAAAATCTTGTCCTGAGCGCTTTTGTTAGTTCAACACCTCAGATCCGTGCAGATGCAAAAGGGATTTCAATACGTTGTAACTCTGAGCAACTGGTGCCAATGGTTTTGTCTAATTGAATTTCACTGAATTTGAACAACCACACCATGAATTGGAAAATAAGAGAAGACATTTAAATAGCAATAATTCCATTAAAACAACAAAACACCACATTATTTTTTTAAGTGGAACCTAACCTGCCCCGCCAGATGTTTCACCTTAAAATACCTTCTCGGTATGGAGATGTGAAACATTTCATCAGCTCAACAGGTGGACAAAGAGGAGACGTTCGGACAGCATTGACAGCAAACGGGAGCAGATCGGAAAACAGGGAGGACTAAAACATGATAAACGTGAAGATATCACTCCGAACAAAGCCACAGTTGAGTAGAGGAGCTCCGACTCTGATGGAATTGGCTCTTCCATAAGTACGACAGCATGCGTGTTTCATCAACGGACAGAAAATAAGCCGTCGGCGGGGGGAATAAAACATGCCTCCTTACCTATTGCCATCTCGATGACGCTCATTTGGCCCTCCGGAGGGGAAAGGATTTTTGGCGGCTTGTCAGTCAGGGGAGCTGTGAGGAGACAAACAGAGAGAAAAAGGAAGAGCACATTAAATTCAACATATTTCCCCCCCCCCGGACAGCAGAGGTATGATTTATTCATCACAGACCACAATAAAAGGGTGGATTAAAAATGGGAACAAATAAAAGGAAAAATAATATTTAAAGAGTGGACGGATAAAAAGCCCGGATGAATTACTATGACTCAGAACTACCCATTCAAAGCTTTTAAACATCAATGCACATACTTTCAAAGAAGAAGCAGCTGTTTCGATACCAATGCTATTCATCCATTGCGGAAAACAGCGTGTAAGCGACGATATGGATCCGACATCGACTGCTATAAAAACCGCACCGTATATATACAGCAGCTGTGCGACAAGTCAACCATTGGCGGATGTGCCGAGCAGATACCCCGAGGTAAAGCTCCTTCACAGCTGCAGCAGCCATGGGAAGGTTAGCAGCTGCCCCAGGTGATGCAGTATACTTCAGCTGTGTGCACATGATATGCCTGGGAATTATTCATTTTGTGATATACCATGAATAAGTCCTTCCATTAAAACATTTATTTTTATTTTTTTTAAAGCTTCGGCACATGCAATGTGTTCAATGTGTGTTCTGCCGCGAGCGGGTCGCTGATCCAAAAGTGTATCGGGGGTATTTCAGAACAGCCCACGTCTCAAACGCCCTTCGAAAAATACACCGGCTCCAATTAGACAGCTGCCGAGTAACAAAAGACGTGCACTTAGAGGCTCCTCATTAGAATGATCCCCTAATTGGTTCTAGCCTTCAAAGTGGCATCAGAGAGGTTTTCCACCCGTGCGCGCCGGGAAACACTCGGAGGGACGAGGTTTGATTCGGTTTCCTCCGTCCTCCAGCTCTCTGGTGATGTAACTCACCCCAGCAGAGAGGGAAAAGCTACAGTTAAGTGTTTATGTGAAGCCTCGCCGCCAGTTATCATCCCCACAGCAGCGGATTCAAAATGCAGTTATTCAGATTTCTGCATTCATATATTCAGTTTTTACTTTATTTGGTTTGTGCAACATGCACGCGGCAGCTGAGGAGTTTGTGAAGCAGCTAACTGACTCCGGAAAGGTACTTTTCAAATACTAAGTTGGATTCTATACATGAGATTGTCAAAAAAGTCAACTATTTTAGTCAAGATAACTGATTTTCGTACAGATTTATACCGGTAATAGTCATCCACATTAAATGACAAAATATGTACTTTGAGGAAAGAAATCACAGTGAAAAGCAAATATGAACTGATTGGGATTCGACTTGACAAAAAAAGAAAAGCGCTTTTAAAAGCATCCTCAGATTTTCAGACACAGACTGATGAGCTAAATCAACTCCAAATGCCAAACGCCATACGTGAAATATTCGAAAACAAGAGACTCTCTTGGTACAAACTCGTAATTTCTTTCCATTTTCAGACAAATACACAATGTCTCTTCGATGGTATCCATTCACTCCTGCTGTATACGCTTCCAACACCAATTGAAAGGTAAAGCCATAATGTGCTCTTATAAAAAAAAAGTTGTTAAGAGGAGCGGGCCGAAAACATGCGGGCACAAATGCCTTGTGTGAGCTCCTTAATTACAAATTTAATAAAAGGAGCCGTAGCAAATGATGCCTTTCCACGTGCCTGCCCTGTTTCAGTGCTTCGCACAAAAAACTCATTACTTTAATTACCTTTCTTCTTGATGAAATACGATTAGATTATTGTGTTTCGTTTCAGATTGAAAAGAAAGAGGAGGCGGGCCACTGCGATGGTTTGTCTTACACGGGACAATGCCGTGTAGGAGAGGAAGAGAATGGCGCACGGGCAGGAACGTGGCTGCATGTATTTTTAGAAATACGAAAAGAAGCTCCGCTGGGGATACACACATCAAACATGGAGCCACGGCTCATTGCTTATACGGTGAGTGAGTTGGAAAGTCATCCATTATATATTTGCATTAATGATATAACAAGACCAACATGGAAAACGCAATAGAAGGAGAATAATTGGGACAAATACCAGAATCCAAATGAATCCCCAAAATATGTGCAAACGCGCTACCGTCAATCAGGCATTTCAAAGAATTGTTTTCGACCTTAAATAATGGCCGTGCCTTGCGCATTATAGTGAATCACTTGTGGCAACTGCCTCCAGTAGCAGCTCGAGGAAGGAAATCATTATGGTGAACGTGGAGAAAAACGATCGCACAGAGCAGCTCTACTCTACGTCCACCGCGATGATCATTTATATTGATGTGAACGGAGCGGCGTGAAAAGGGAGGCGAGATTAATTCAAAAGGTTCTATTAATTATATCTACCTAGCGGACAGATATCTAAGGAAACAGTTCGTCCATTACATTTGTAGTCTGGAGGTGATCTTTCATTTTTGTAGCGTTTGATCCTACAGTCGCTTATAAAATAGTCCGTCACTGGACAATTTATAGTACAGAGGCAGAGAGGATACAAGGGGGGGGCTGGTATGCATGCAACCGAAAACAATGCACACCATTGATATAATATGTTGACTCTCACGTTTCTAAAAGAGTTTATTTCACAGATAAAAAAAAGAAAAAGTAGGAGAAGGCTGTTTAACTCATCCAAATAAGGGGCTGTTTGTCGGCGGGATCCGAACGTGCTGGGAGCCACGCAAACAGACACACACACACACACACACACACACACACACACACACACACACACACAAACCCATTTGAGATGCATTAGTGAAGCTGGCTGGTCTTCAACTTACAAAATCATAATTCTGTGGCTGGTTTTCAGGAGAGGGAGTGGGCGGGCTTTTTTTCGCTGAAGGGCGAGCAACACAAGCAGCCTGACCTGCTTCCCTGCACACAAACAGCGTAGGCGCCTAACGTGCGCACACACAGACACACACATTCCTGCACACATGGAGGAGCCCGACGTCGCCATCGACCGGGAGGAAAATCTTTAAAGTGTCGCTCGCAGGCTCTGTGATCTGCTCTCGTTGTGATCACATGATGATGGATGTGGGGATGGAGTAATGAAAGACCTTGTTCTCTCCCATTAACTCGCCCATCGCTTCCTCTCTCCCCCCCTCCCCTCCTTCCGGCCGTCGCTTTACGTCTTTGGCACCCTGTCTGCCGGCTTCTGAGGCTCTCGGGGGGGCCGAGGGAGAACGGGGAGATGAAAAAAGGAGGGAGGGAGAGGGTTGTGGTCCTCTGTTCACACCTCATTAAAGACCACTTCGGCAGACATAGATTAAGAGGAGTGGAGTGTGTGTTTGTGTGTGTGTGTTTGTGAACTCCAGCTCGTTATGGAAAAGTGCGAGTTCCGCGGGAGAAAATACATGAAAGCAGTTTGAGAGCAAACTCGAGAGGCAAAGCTTGTTAGTATATCAGATGCAGAAGGAAGAAAAAACAACATCTTCGTCTCCTGTTGTGCTACTGATTTAGTTTCCTCAGATCGGAAAACACACAATCACACTGATGGAAAAGTCAATCTGATCAGACTGACAGACTAATAAAATACTCCTGTGGTGAAAATAAAGCGTTTTTCAACAATGTCCTATTCTCTTAAAGTAGAAACTGATGACGGATTTAAAGCAGCGGTATTGACAAACGTTTCATAAAAAGAAGAGAAAGCTCAATCCAGATGATAAAAAGAGCTGTCACGTGCTGATTTGTTGTCGACGAAGACCGACATGCAGAAAAATCTGCCAAAGAATTGTGTTGAAGATTAATATGAAAAACAAAGCGAGCAGCTTTTTGAACAAAAAGACACATAGGAATGAGCCTAAATGATTGAATGAGGTTGTCAACTCATCTCCGGGTTTAAAAGAAGGCAGAAGATCACCTAACAAATGCACATAGCCGATGTAGTAAAACACATGGCTCAAGGACTTAAATGTGTTCAATAAGCCGAGGGGATCTCTGGAGAACCGGGCAGGAGAACGTGCTGCTATAGCTGATGTCAGGGACTCTTACGGTTCTGAAAAAGCAACTGGCTTTGGACAAAGATAAATGGACCACGAACCAGCAAACCGAATTCAATAAGTCCCTTTGATAGCTTTGTGCTGGTTAATAATTAAACTCATGTTGAAGATGAAAATATGGCAAAAAAGACTCCCGAGACACAACGAGTAAACAACTACCACAAGTGCTGGGAACAAATGGCAGAAGATTATATTATTACTCCGTAATGTACCGACTGACTGCAAGAGGCTCTCGTCAAGTACTTACAGGTCAGATGACTGGAAAAATGTTATTGCAGCGTCTTAATGTGACCTCGGCTGAACAGGGAATATCTTTCATTACCTCACAACAGAAAACATTTTCTGACCAGCCGCACATACAGATCGGTGGAAACAACAATGCTGCTGTTGCCTGTGTTCTCGCTGTGTGTTAATAGTTCTGGCAAAATAACTGTTATTTTAGCAGGAGGACCTTGCGGGTGCTGCTGCCCCCCCCGAAGATGCGTCCCGAGGCCGGCGGGTGGAATGGAGCAGGGTCGGGAAGACTGCGTCCTCCGATGATGGAGATTAACGACTACAAGAAGGGAAACCGGGAGCCACAAAGGGACACACTGGTTTAGAAAGCTGGATGTCGTTTCTGCGTGCGCGCCGTCGTTTAGCAGTGTGAGGTTTCTGTTGAGGAAATCGTTTTCATTGTTTCTCCCCCTCCGTCGCTGGGAGAGCAGCAGAAATCAATTGCTCACATGAGAAAGGGCATCAATAGGCTCAAAATGTAAGTACATCATTCACATTTAACAGTTTCCTGCAGGAACACTCCAGGCACTGTTTAATGCAGTGAAGGGCTTATTTCTCATCTGGACGCCAATATCATTTTTTTCTCACAATATATCCCCTTCATTGGCATCGCCAGGTCATTTTGCCGGGACTTAAGGCCTGAATGTTCTGACTGTAGTCCCGAATATAACAATAAAATGTAAGCCTGTTAAAATGCTCATAAATACGCAGTGTGTGTGTGTGAATGTGTGATAGTCTTCGCAAGATAACAGACTGTCAAAGTAA